TAATTTTAAATTACAGTATCCAAAACAATGTTATGTATGCAAATAAAAAACAATAACAATAATAATAATAATTTTTACTTATTTGGATCAATGTGTTGATAAAAATTAAAGACTTATTCATTTTTAATAAAACTTATATGGCTTTCTAGAAGATCTATGATGAGAACTTTTTGAATATGTTTTGATATTACAAGATCTATTATGAGTTTTTTTTTTAGATTTAGAATGATGTATTGTTAAGGAATTAGAACGAGATCTTGATCTAGATTGCCTCGGAGATCTAGAACTTGAAATTCTTGAAGACCCAGTGAGAGATTTGTTTGGAGGTATATTATCATAATACATTAGAGAATGAAAACGAGATCCAGTATGAGAATTCAATCTATCTAGTTGAGAAGAATGTTGTATAATATAATAAGTTGGTGATAGGTGTGTTGGTGAATATCTTTGGATTTCATCTGCACTGCAAGCACCACGAAGTATAGAACTTACACAGTATTCTGTATATGGTAAGAACCATTGTTTGCACGTWATTACATATCCATCAATTTCACCTATATACAACATTATCATCATCAGTTATATCTTTTAAAATTATTAAAATAGAAAAACTCACATTCATCCATAGTTCTTACAGCATTTTTAGATTCTTCTGGAGARGAAAACATTATGTAAGAAAATCCTTTGGAAAATCTATCATATTGGTTGAAGTGTAGATCTAGTTTTTTTATTGTTCCAAATTCAGAAAAATTTTCATAAAGGAAATCTACGGTAATTCTTCTGGATAAGTTAGTAATACGAATGCAACATGAAGTTTGTGGGCATTGAATTTTACACTTAATTGGAATACGAGACCTAAAATCATATTTATAACTTAATTTTTTTATACYTAAAATAGATAGTTACCAGTAGTTTACCTTGGTTTTTTATGAGCTATACTGATATTTTTGGAATTTTTTATTTTTACATCATACCATTTTTTATTTGTTTTTGCATTCTCACTTATTAATTGCGAGTATCTGTAAATTAATTTTGATTGAAAATAAATTACATTGATGTTTACTAAAAGACATAGTATATGTTGTTAAGTATCTACAAAAACAACTTATTTATAATGTATTTATTAAACTCACGTAGGTTTGTCTTTAACTTGTAAAATGTTTGAAGAATTTTTCGACCTTGAATTTAAAATAGAATTGAATTTAGAATTTTTTGAACTGGAATTACAGTTGCCAGAGTTTGAAGATGCCATGCTAGAACTGTAGTATTAATTGCATATTAATTCAAAATAAATTGTATAAAATTGTTTTCACTTCTTACTTTTTACTCAAATATTATATTACGACTGTCAAACAACAAAATGTTTTCTTTGTGGTACTTCTTCTTTTTCTTCTATAATGATGTTTTCTTTTTTTACTTCCTTTTAAATATTATTATTGATATTTTCAATCAGATAACGTCACAATTATTTGACTTTTTGACCTATAGTAACTAATAAAATATAAACATTAATAATAAGATAATAATTAATAATAATAATAAATAATTAATTAAAATATTTGTATTTAAAATGACTAAATAAATAAATATGATTACAAAAAACTGTTGTTTGTCCAGTTTGCGCATATTCCCACAATTCTTTACACAAAACCATTACTAGTAGTTTTCCGCATTTCATTGGTCAGCAATATTAATAAAATATAATGGAAGCGAAGAACCTTCGCTATCGACAAGATAAGGGTGGTTGCATATCACAAATTTGTGATCATACCTATTTATTTAGTCATGTATTAAAAAAAAAAAAATAATGAATAGTGAAAGATGAAATGGGGATTAAAATCATGATCACTAGTAATTTATTTTCAATATTTAAATAAAAGATGAAATATATTAACAGTAGGTACTTGACAGTTAACCGAGCAGTTAATAAAACCAAAATTGTAATTCAGAATACTGAGATTACAATATGTTACAATTCAATACATTCATAAAAAAAAGCTTATTTAAATTAAAACTAAGATAAAGCACCTGTTTGTTTAGAGATAAATAACTTAATAGTTAATATAAGCATATAGGGTAAAAAACTTAACATCTACATTTCTGCAAAGTTTTCAATCATAYGAGTTATTTGTTATTTAATGGCTAATAATGTTACTCTAAATTGTTGAAGAATGAAATTATTTTATTAAATTAGTTTAAGTTTACTTATTTGTTGATTAATTCAATGTAGAATATGATATCCTTGGTGATGTCTAGGTGACAAGGTTTTAATAATCAAAATTAAAATAATAATAATTTTTTGCAACAAATACCATACACAAATAATCTTAAGCCTAATGTAAATGATATAGGTAGTTAGTTTAAATGACTAACAACTTCATTGTTGATAATTAATTTTAAAAAAAAGTTATATTTATGAGACCATACTTTAACATACAATATTGTAAATTACAATAAAATATGAATTTATTCAAGAGTCCAAATATCCTTATAATATTGTTTAATCCTGTATATTTGAAAGAATAATTAATTTTTAACTAATATTTACTATATCTCTAAAGAAGAAGAAAAAATGGTTTTATCATATAGAAAGATTTTGCAAAGCAAGCCGAGAAATGTTTTTGGTTTGAACTGTTCTATCAAAAAAGTTACTACTCTGGCTTCGTATCAGGAAAATTTCACTTAGAGATGCTTCTCAGACAGTTTACATCAAAAGCATCGCTCGATTTTATATGCAATACCATCTCAGATATGTCAAAGGGAATAGACAAATTTTTTTTTAGCACCTATAGACCTGACAAGATTAGTTACTCACTCAACTARGTAAAAATTTACATTATAATATGATACCTACAAAAAAAGATAAATTGCAACGAACATATAAATAAATATATTTAGTTACAAATGCCCGTAAAAATTGTGGAAGGAAACAAAAAGTTCAGTACCTATACTTTGAGCAAACACGTAAATTAGGTTAAGCAATATRGTGTATCTAGTTGTCATTCACACATCAATACCCATTATTACATAAAATATTAAGTATTAACCAATACTTTTTAGGTGACTACTCATTAAATCGCATAATATACTACTTATGATTTATATGTAGGTACTTACCACAGTTCAATTCAATGAAATTGATTTAAATTGATTATTTTCAAAAATATCATAGATGTCTGATGAGAAACTACGGATTTTAAACATCACTAGATTACCAGATTTCATGATGATAAAAAAAAATTACATTGTATTATGTTTGTTCAATCAAATAACAAGTGTTACGATCATAGACAAGCACGGTATGATATTATTTTTTAATCATCTAATCCAGAAAACTGTTGCGTAGTTTGCAGGGGGTAGTGTAGATAGTGTAATCAAATATATTTGAACAATATTAAAGTGAAATAACAAACGATTAAATAAACAGGGTTGTACAACTCGTGTCTTTGTTGAAAGTCGACGCCATAGCTGAATTGACGATTCGCTGGAAAATGGACATTGGACATAATAGACATTCACATTCCACAAACACAACACCTATGTTCCGCTATTTTTTTTTACAGCAATATTTGATAAGCGATTGCAGGGTTCCCAAACACATCCGAAAAACACAATACAGCCATAGACCGTTATTCACCAATAGATAGCGTAGTATTTCAAAAACCACCGATTTAACCATACTAGGCATCATCTTTGGTGATTTTTTTTAATTACTCTAAGCCCATCGCCACTTTCTAAGTGGTATACAAATTTTCGTGTTAAAATACAGATTCTGAATATATTACACAATTATTGTCTCTCTTACATTTAATTATATTTTGATATCCAAAATTCAAATTAACTTATTACAAAACATAGATTAATTATTAATTAATAAATAACTTTAGAAAAAAATATTTGTAGGTTTATTGATGTAATATTTTTAGAATAAGATAATATTTCTTATGGATCCAGCTGATTATTCTTATATTTCATGTAATAGTCAACATCAATAAAGTATGTTCTATTAATGTGCTAAATGTTTTTAGTTTATTATGTAGCGTCCCAGCATACAGGAGGACGAATGGCTGGTATTGAGGTAGATGGATTGAAGCAAATAAGTATAACAACTTGACTTGTAGTTAATTTATTATACATTTATTTGATTTTCATGTAAATAAAGCACTTTTACTGCACAAATTGATTTAATTCAAAATATTCTAAGTCCAAATGATTAATTTAGAATGTTGACTGGCGTGAAGGTGCTTGCACTGACTGGTGGTTCACGTCTGATTTGGGTCTAATTGGGGCTCTCCTATTCAGAAGAGAGAGTCCTACTCTCTGCGTTTTCTCTCCTATCGATAAGATAAGTGTGTGTCCATGGTCGAGTCGCGCAAATGCGTCCTCATGTACCTATCATTAGGATATCGCAGCATCCCACGCTCGTGCGGCCGTTCGGTTCACATCTTGTTATTCACGAGTTCGTGACACTCATAATGTCCATGAACCGATGCCCATAGTAGGTTTTAAGTTATAACTTATAACAATTATTTACGATCTCCATGTGTATCTGTCAATACTACAAATTCGTAAACCGATGACCCTATTAGGYGATATAACTAACACATAGTTAWTCTCCATTGTTACGATAATTAGGAAAAGTCTTTTAGTGTGGCCTTCTACTCAGCTATTGAGGTCCTACACAACGTAATCGGTTGGCGAAATCATATGCCCCAGGGACACTTACGTCCATATACGTATATATGCGGATTTAGGTGTCTTAGTGAGACGTCAGTATATAGCAATTAGATGAATCAATGTACTTTTGAAAGTATACTGTAYAATAGCATTAATAGCGGCAAAATACTGTATAATGTGATTCRTGTATAGTGTATTGCTAAATATGGCATCCTACAAGGAACAGTGCTAGGATCTATATAATTCTCAATAAAATGTGTAGACGCCTCATTAAATTTAGAAATAGGTAGTAAGATACTCCGCTTTGTGAATGACACTATTGCTTTTGAAGGTGTAAATTAGACTGAGGTGRAAAAAAATGCTAATAAAGGTCTATCAGTGGCCATTAAATGGTATACTAAAAGTAGCATAATGCTCGACAAAAAAACAAATCAGTTTTTATTCCTTTAATATTTTCTAGTCAGAACTCACCAGAACAAGTCAAAATTATATTATATAAAAATAAATGTAAGAACATCAAAATATAATATTAAAAAATGTAATAAAAACTGTTTTTGTATACCTGAAGTAACCTTAAGAAAATATTTAGGTGTAATATTTGATGAAAAATTAAAATGGAAACCTAATGTTGACATACTAATAATACGTAAAGCTTTTTATATTTAAATAAGAACTACGTAATATCTTAAACATCCCAAGACTAAAAATGGTTTAATTTGCATTAGTTCAGTCTGTCTTATTATATGGAGTTCTAGAATGGGGATCTKCATATAAAAATTGCACTGAAACTACTGAAATCACACATAGAATTATAGAACCCTYACAGAATTAAAATAACAAATACTTATGATTCTAAAAATAATACAGATTATTATTTATTACGAAAATTATATTTATCAACATTGAAACAGTTATACAATAAAACATTACCAAAGTAGGTATCAACTTTTAATGTAATTTTTCTAATTAATTATGAAGAAAGTTAAAATAAATATTATATTTGTCAAATATTCTTAAAAATCTTTTTTTCAATCTTTTGTAAATTAATTAGGGCCTGTGTATTTTAACCCTATGCTATATCAATATAAGAACAAAATTCACTTTTCTAGAAKTAATGTCAGAAAAATTGTGTATCATTGATTGTTTTCTCAATTAATTCAAGTCCTCCATATTATGTAGGTAATACAGAATCAACATATGCTGTCATGAAAACTAACTTAATGATTTTTGTATTGTATGTAACTAGTGATAGTTTAATGAAAAAAAAAAATAATATTATTGTAAACATGTTTATTATTTATTTTTAGAGGTTCTTGGAGCGATGGACTGAAATTTGAATCCAAGTATGAGGTATACTACATGGGTGCTACATGGGTACTACTGGGTGTAGATACTACAGCCTCATTACCACTTTTTCCTATGCAATCATACCCTAGCCCAGACCCCTGGAGCGGCTTTGCGAGCTACATCTGGTCAAACTAAACATAAATAAAATTATTGATTAATTACACTCCTTGGTAAAAAATTTTTAAAAAAATTCAAGGTTTAAAAAATTTAAAAACCTCTATTATATTT